TTTTTTGGCGTACGCCATTTCCGCCTTTTGGCCGTACGTTCACTTTTAGTATGGTTTCCACGCAATCCTTTATAAATGAGACCCCAGACTCAGTTTCCAACACACAGCTTTTCCAGTGAGAAACAGTTTAGTTTAATAAATAATAACTTGATAGTCTGTTGTTTTTGTACACTTGAGTTTAAATTTGGATCATTTTAGAATCTGATGATGATAGATTAATTATTTTATTTCCTGACACAAACCCCCACTGAGAGTTAGAGAAGACGGACTTGCTTTTTGCCATGACTGTCCACAGAATAAACTAGCTCATCATACACTCACATGTCAACACAACACTGTGGCTTGACAGCTCCAGTGGAATCAACCACAGAGTACTTGTTTGGCGCCGTGCACAGCACTGTCAAAAAGAAAAAAGCAGTTCCATTAAAATGTAAATAATCTGGAGTGTTTTAATAAAACACAAAAAAGAATGTCCAATTCTGCAGACCAACCTTTGAACTTGAGGGCGAACTCATAAGGATTGTAGAGGGTGAGCACCTGCTTGTGAGATGACTGCTCATCAGCATAAAAGATGAGCTCAGTGGGGAAAACGAACACAGGAAGGCTTCCTTCCACCAGCTCAGGCTGTCGATGCTGCTGCTGCTGCTGCATTGGCTCCAGCTGAGCTCCGACCCCGCCCCGTCCACTCTCTGCCCGAGCCCCCCTCACGCTCGTCTCTGCTGATATCAAGCCAGGAAGACTCCACCACCCCCCGGATCCGAAAGGCGCCGACTCTCAGCTGCTCAGGGCCATGACACGTTACTGTGAGAAGTAAACAGTTTTACTTATTTATTAGATACTTTCTTATGTTTTATGTAACTGATGTGGACACATCCCATTTGTTATTTTGTTTACAAGCCCAATTTTAAAAAAGGTTGGGATGTTGTGTAAAAAACTGTTAAAAAATAATAATTTTACGTATATAACAACACATCTTAAAGAAAATGTTGGGATAGGGCCATGAGAAGCCTCCCTCTTCTTCTAGCAGCAGTCTGTGGGAGTCTCATTTTGTCTGATGTATGATTTATTGCTGTTCAACAATCCTCTGTCATCTTTGATAGATTTTTTTTAGTTTAATGATGGGTCAAATGTTTTCAACTGTAGAAAGGTCTGGACTGCAGGCAGGCCAGTTCAGCACCTGGACTTTTCTACTAAAAAGCCCTGCTGTTGTAATGGATGCAGGATGTGGTTCAACATGGTCTTGCTGACGTATGCATGGCCAAAAAACATTTGGATGAGAGTATGCATTGTTATAAATCCTGTATATACTTTTCTAGATGTGTAAGCTGCTCATGTTAAAGGCACTAATGCACCCCCATAGCATCAGAGAGGCAGTTAAAAACAGGCCTAATGGCCCCTCCCCTCAAAAGTATGGAGCATGTGTTGTTTGTGGTTTCCTAAAAGATCTTCAAATTTCCAAGTTTTCCACCTGACCTAAATTCATTTTAATTTAGATTTGAGCAAAAGATGGCAGCATTTCTCGACAATGTTCACATGTCTTCTTCTTTGCATGATAGAGCTTTAGCCTTCACATGTAGACGACATGAGAACTGTTTTAAAAATGACTGGTGAAAGTGTTCCTGGGCAGTAATGCAACAGAATCAGATCTGTTTTAATGCAGTGCTGTCTGACACTCAGCCTCGTCTTTCAGCACAGAGATTTCTCTAAATTATTGAATTATTTTGATATTTTATACCGTAGATAATGGGATAATCCATATTTTCCTAATTGTCTACCGAGTAACATTAGTCTGGTGTTTGTATCATCGTTTTTAGTAATTAAAAACATATTTCTGACTGTTTCTTCTTCATACCACTTGTTTTTACAGACTTTTCTCTTCCGTCCTCACTTTGAGATGTGTTGCTGCCATCAAATTCAAAATCACCCTTTTAAAATAAAAAACAATAGTTTGAGTTCATTTAAACATTTGATGTTTACTAAGTTTCACTGTTAATAAAATATGGGTTCACAAGATTTACAAATCATTGCATTGTCCTTTTAATTAATTAATTAATTAATTAATTATTTAATTAATTAATTAATTAATTAATTAAATCAAATCAGGACAGTGCACATTAATGAACAATCGTATACTGCTGCAGGGTATACATAAGGATTTTTTTCAGGTTGTCCAACAGACAACCTGTTGACATAATCTGGTTGTCTGTAAAAAAAAAAAAAAAAAAAAACTCAATTAAAATGTAATTTAATAGGTACCTATATTGTTCTGTATACGAAGTTTACTGTATACAAATGTTCTCAGTCAGCAGTTTAACAGTTTCAGGAGCTGCTTGAGTAAAACTCCTCCTCATCCTCTTCTTTGAAATAGAGAGCAAAAATCAACATCCAACAACCATAAGCTTCCTGCTTACAGGACAAACATTTTAATTTAAATAGTATTATAGCCTACTGTCTACATGACCTTTTTAAAGCTACACTTTAGTGTTCTTAGGACTGAAGACTTTCTGGATTAAGGGGATTTAAACAGCTTTTCTGTCATTTTAGTGTTTTCAGCTGAGGAGTTTGACGTATTTGTTTAAAAAGAATTATAGCACAAGAAGTTCTCTGCATAGAAAAAAACAATTTATTTTTTACAGTTTTTTTTAACCAAACTGACAAGTTTCTCCACTATAATAGTTGTGTAATGTAAATGCATTGAAACACCTGGTTAAATTTAGAAGATATTATGATTAACTACAAGCACCTGAAGCTGACTCAGAGAACTGTGGTTTTAGAGGAAAATCACAGTCAAACGTAGACACGGCACCCCCCTGTGTGGTTCTTATTTTGGCACATCATCTTTAATTGGTTTTGGTTGCTGCAGTGTGGCATGAACAAAAACAAAACTTCTTGTAACTCGGTAAACAGCACAGCTCATACATCAACCTTTACGGATAAAATAAAGGAAAAATTGAAACTGTGTTGTGTCTCCTATTCATCACGTTAGGTTTTAGACAGCTGTTGAGCTTTAAACCTGTTTTTTAAGATGGTGACAGCGGTGTGGTTTGCTGCTCACGTGCGCTTCTGTTTACATTTATGGTTAAAGCTCGAGGAGCCAGACCCGTGGCGTGGGTGTCGCAATACGGTTTTGTTTTTAATGTCATGCATACAAATCGCGATAAAATCACGCCAGCAGCTATTTTGTTCCTTTCCTCTCCATGCGTTTAACTGGATGTTAATATTAAACTGCATTTTTCCCCATAATTTTAGATTAAACAAACACAAGTAGTGTACCCAGTCGGATACAAATGTCTTTAAACAAGACTTTTCTTTAAATGTGACCCTGTAAACACATTGTATCATATCGGAAATGACCTGGTACTAACTCCAGATAAACAACTTTCTCCGTCACATTTTTAGTCAGTGTTAATGTCAGTGTTTATTAGCCTAGCATTAGCTGTGATAGCCGCTGTTTGTTGTTGTCGCGCCGTGTCATTACAGAAAATAAAACGCAGACTCGTTTTATATCTCGATAATGCGGGAACAGACACATTACCTTACTGTCAGCATTTGGTTTTGACTAAAGTGACGACTATCACAAAGACCTGTGCGTGTTATCCACCTTGTTGCTGTCTCTCTTCAGCCTCTTTCCTTTGTGAATAATTACACTGCAGACACCGCGGTGCATGCTGGGATGACGGATGCTCTACGTACAGACGTAACGTCTTCATAACATTTCATACCGGAAGGATGACAGTCTGGTCAAGATAAACACAGGTCCTTTAAATCCCCAGTCCAATCCGAGCCTAGTGTCATGTTTGTGGTCAACTTTGACTATACAATCAAAATTAAAATAGTCCAAATTGTTTGTAGATTTCTGTGTTCAGTATTTAGACGTTCATGACTATAATGTTCTATTTTAATTAATTTGTTGCCAGCTTGGGGATGCTCTTTAACAGACTTTACTTTTTTCTTTAATGAGATATAAGCATTTATTTTGCTTTGGGTGTGCGCGCGTGTTTTGTTGGTATTCTTTTGGCGCGCCTGTCACGTTTCTGCGGATGTTCGTGTTGTGTGTATGGCTGGCCGTTTTAACATATAATCGAACCTCACAAAAAACACCCACTTTTGATACATCAAAACCAGTTTTCCTTCTAATCACAGGAACACAGATATAATCAGAATTGAAATTAGACATTGACATATTTTTACAAATAGGGGTGTGTTCATAGATATTTCCACAATTGCTAACATGTCTAAAAATGCTTTAAAAGTTTTAATTGATTTAATTTTTAGGGCAGCTATCTAAAATTTAATTCCTCCTTGTTAAAAACATTTTGAATATTTACCAAGTTTTTCTTTCTAATTCTACAAACATTCATCCAGTATCTTAACCTGTTTTTTTCTTTCATGATCATGGCTTCAGTGGTGCCTGTATCCACTGTGCAGGGGCAGGGTGCAGCCTGGATATGGAGGTAAATTTGTGTTTTTATTATTCAATCAAACAAAAAGCATCTTCAATCAAAAAAAATAATTTCAATCAAAAAAAATTTTTTCAACCAAACAAAAAGTAAATTCAATCAAAATTAATATTTTCAACCAAAAAAAATA